TCTGGACGTCACCCATAGTTTTTCCATTTACCAACATGCAAAGTACACCCTCTCTTGGTTTATCTTCAAGGTTGTCCTGCTTTTCCTTAAAAGATATTTTATTCATCTAAGAGCTGTTGTCTTATGTGGCCAGCTTTCCTCTAAATGTATTGCAAAGCTTCAATAATTTGGGAAGATGTCCACTTGAGTTTTGTTAACATTTTTACGTTAGCCTTGACCACACAAGAGGTTTTCGTTTGTTATAAGTATACTTATATTTGAAGGCACCCTAATGAGATCAAGACAAGTGTATTTCTGAGAGAACATGTCTGCAACCACCTACTGAGAAGAGACATTTGTGCAACAAATTTTGTTTGGAATAAACCAGTGCATGTAGGAACTGGGATCCTAGTAGCAATACTTTAAAAAAAATATTTTTTTTTTATCCTCATAAAACTCTGCTTCCCAGGTTTGACTTTCCTAGAGAACCAGACCTAAGGTAGTAGGCTACCTTGAGAGTTGGTGATTCTGGGTGGGGATGGGAAGATGAGGTACAGACTGTCAGATACCACAGGGCTTGAACTTAAAAAAAGGATGCTGGATAAAAGCAAGCCTTGGTTGTACTGAAGGTAACGTTTACCCATTTTCTGGGTCTCAACTCTCCTGTCGAATCTACCTTCTGCATGCCTGTCAGGCAAATGTTTTGTTTTGTTTTCAGGCAAATCTTTTTTTACGTCACCACTTGGCACACACCGCTTCCCAGTTCAAACTGTTGAACTAGCTTCCCATTGCAATTCGTACTCACTGCACCTCACTCATTGTCATTGAGTTGATGCCAATTCCCAGTGAGCCTATAGGACAGGGTAGACCTGTCCCTCTGAGTCTCCGAAACGGTAATTCTTTATAGTAGTAGAAAGCCTTGTCTTACTCCCTCGGAGCAGCTGGTGGTTTTGAACTGGTGAACTTGGAGTTAGCAGGCCAAGACATAACCACTATGACACCAGGGCTCCTAATCACTATGTCTACCATGGGGATAAGAGTAGTCCCAGGTGACTGTCTAGTAGGGCAGGTCAAGTGGCTCCAAGTTAAGTTTGGGGTAGCTTCTGCAGCACTCATGAGAAATGTTTGGGGACAGGCAGGGCTTCTATACAAGGAGAATGGCATTTGCATGAATGCTTGGGGGCAATGTGGAGCTTGCTGTGGACCACTGCAGCTGCCCCTCCAGGCCCCCTACGATAGGGGGATGTTTACTTTCTCTAGTACTGACACACCGTCTTGGTAGAGTTTGGGGGCTGAGATGTGGGGTTAAGATCCAAACCCTGTAAGCAGGGCATTAGTACTGCCCCCCCCCCCTGCCGTTCTTCCAACTGGTTCCTGACTTTCAATGGTCAGACTACGTCCACTTCGTTCTCTACTCATTCCTGTTTCTGTTTTTAGGCTAGCCCTTGGAACTTCAGGACAAGACATCTCAGCGACATCACTCCCTCAGGCAAATAAACCCAGCCTCTATTTCATGGGATAAAAACTTTTATTTTGCACTAACAACCCATTATATCTTTGGTAGTTGCTTCTGTTGAAATACCCTGATTTCTCTTTCAAAATTAAAAAAAGTTTTATTAGCATACAATTCACATAGCATACAGTCCAATAAAGAAGAGTTATGCAATCATCACCACAATCAATTTTAGAATATTTCCTTCTTTCTTGTACTCATTGTTGTTAGCTCTTCATTTCCCCCCAGCCTCCCCTGCCATGACCCTAGGTAATTATTAATCCAGTTACCTAGCGTGGTAACTCTATAGAGACACTACAGAGAAGCATGCAAAACAAAAACAAGAAACACACAAACCCAACAACGACAAAATAAAACAGGAAAATCTCAGTAGAAAAGAAAGCAGAAAATAACAAAAAGTAACAAATTTAAAATGGGTCAAAGGGGAGCTAAGGTGTTACATTTTAACCTGATTACATCTGCCACAAGAGTCCTAGCTGCTAAGTATAAGGTCAGCAGTTCAAAGCCACCAACTACTCCTTGGAGAAAGATGAGGCATTCTATTTCCACCAAGAGTTACACTCTTGGAAACCCAGGGGGCAATTCTACCCCATCCTATAGGGTCAACATGAGTTGGAACCGACTCAATGGCAGTGAGTTAGTTGAGTTACATCTGCCATGGACTCTGTCTGACAATGCTCTGTCTGTAGCTAGGCCATTCGTGTATTTCTGGACAATGGTCAGAGGGGATTCACTGGTGGCTTAATCCACGTGGGGACCCTGCACTTGGATTTTGGGCTTCCACTGTCATCCACAACTTTCTGCAATCCAGGTATTCACTATTTAAGCTCTGACATCATTCCCGCCTCCAGATTTGAGTTTTATAATTTACAATTCTTGGATCCTCCATATGGACTTAGTTGACGCCTCACTTAGATGACTGCTTGGTTTAACATAAACCTTTAATACCCCGGATGCTATTCTTTCTGATAGCTGGGCACTATCTGGTTTCTTCATCACACTTTACTATAGCACCCATCTCTTCAGTGATCATAAGAACACACAGTTCTTACATTAAGGCTGTGATTAAGTGCCAGCTCCAAATCCCTTCATACATCTATGGTTTAGATAGGTCCCTGGCTCATTTTAGACATCATTAGCGTTTTATTGGAAGACGTTAAAAAACATCCATAGAAATCAACCTTCTTTGCCTCAGTTTCCTGATCTGGGTAGCAAGATGGTTGTCTGGACGAAATCGATGTATATGGGCACAGCTTTAAGCGTGGTGCCTGGCCCACGGTGTGTTCTATATAAATATCCGTGACTTTACTGTTACTATGTCCTTCTATCTGAAAGATGCTTGTTCTACTGCTTATACAGCCGGGGCCCCTTGGTCATTCGCAAGCTGGTCTTTTGAAATACCTGCCCACCCTAGGCACTCACTTCGGGGGTAAAGGCTTCGGTGAGGGCATCGCGGGAGCCGCCAGTGAGTCCAGGTGAAGAAAAACGAACCACAGTGGCGTTATAGAGCCGGTCGCAAAGCCCTGAAAGGGGACAACGTTCAGGAGGAGTAGGTCTGCGCGCGCCTCCGCGCCCAGGTGCCTCTCTCTTTCCCATCCCGGCCGAGAG